TCTCTCTTTCTCTCGCCATCTCCACCGACCTGAAAAGTCCTGCCATGCTGGGTTTGCGTAGACCGTCAGAATGCCCACACATGTACGCGATCTGTAGTCGGGATTCGCGCGGTGGCGATTACATTGGGTTCAGTCGCCGCGAACGAGCAGTGTCGTGTGATCTAATAGGGATTTTCCCCCGTGAGTCCGATGTTTGATCGGGGTGACGTTCGGGGCCATTTGATCAGGACGTTTGATTGGGCCGTGTGATGAAGGCGGAGATTGCCTCTCTGTCGCGCTCTCTCTCTATCGCTATCTATTCATCTCTCTTTCTGTCTTGTATCTCGTTCGTTTTACTGTGCTTGTCTGTGTCGCTCGCACAAAGTTTGCTAACGTAACTGACAAGCGCATACAAACGAACGAGACAGAACCAACAACGTCATGTTCCACCACCATCATCGTCCCCGTCGTTAGTTTTCTATCAGTGCCTCTATGTCCTTCGTCTTTTGCGTCGGCCTGCTTTCGCGAATCTAGTTCCATTGGCGACCACTCGCCCCGATCAGATGGCACACTCACACGTCCACATGGCAGGTCCTGAACAAGCGTGGGCACGCTGATGGATGTGGGGCTCTGTGCGGCAACAGAATGTTGTTGAATAGAACCCCGCACCCATCAGCGTGGCCACACATGATCAGGACTTGACACGTGGACATGTGTGCCATCGTGTTCAACTACCATCTTCGTCCCCGTCGTTAGTTTCTCTTCAGTGCCTCTGTTTCGTTTGGCCTATGCGTTGGCCTGTTTCTTTCCCGAACTTACCTCGGGGTGCGTTTGCGGATCTCGTTCCATTCGCGACCACTCGCCCCGATCAGATGGCACACTCACATGTCCACGTGTTAGGTCCTGAACTAGCGTGGGCACGCTGATGGATGCGGGGCTCTATGCGGCAAAAGAATGCTGTCGAACAGAGCCCCGCACCCATCAGCGTAGCCACGCATGATCAGGACTTGACACGTGGACGTGTGTACCGTCGTGTTCAACTACCATCTTCGTCCCCGTCGTTAGTTTGTCTTCAGCGCCTCTATTTCGTTCATCTTATGCGTTGGCCTGTTTCTTTCACGAACTTACCTCGGGGTGCGTTTCCGGATCTCATTCCATTGGCGACCACTCGCCCCGATCAGATGGCACACTCAAACGTCCACGTGTCAGTTCCTGAACAAGCGTGTGCACGCTGATGGATGCGAGGCTCTATGCGGCAGCAAAATGTTGTCCAATAGAGCCCCGCACCCATCAGCACGGCCACGCATGTTCAGGACTTGACATGTGGACGTGTGAGTGTGCCATCTAATCGGGGCGAGATGAAGGAGTTTCGGGAGCAAGAATGCATGCGTTTCATTGTCGAGCACTCGCCCCGATCAGATGGCACACTCAGACGTCCACGTGTCACGTCCTCAACAAGCGTGGCCACACTGATGGATGCGGGGCTCTATGCGACAATGGAATGTTGTCGAGTTGAGCCCCGCATCCATCAGTGTGGCCACGCATGTTCAGGAGCTGACACGTGGACGTGCAAGTGTGCCATCTGATCGGGGCGAGTGGTCACCAACGAAACGGGACCCGCGAATGTAGCCCGAGAGTGTTGTGACACGCCCTTCGAGATTGTGTCGTCACTTCAGATGTTTTCTTGAAGTGTTACTCGCTTGTCGTCAATTTGTTGTCTCTCTCACGAACTGCGATATAAGGATTTTAGTCGTATGTTGTCGAACACAAGAACATGGTTTCTCACGAATTGTGTCTCTTCTTGATTGCACATAGACTTTCTTCTCGGCGAATTAATTTTTATTGCGTTTGGTTAGTTTATTCGTTTTTCTGCGTAAGTCCCGTCGTGCAGTTCGCTCGGCGTTCGGTTCTGTATTCGTAAATTGTCCTCCACATTCGTCGAATTTTTTACATTTTTCGTCACTCTTCCTCTCGCCGACACGAACAATTTTTTCTTATATTTCTTTTGCGCAGTTTTATTAGTGGGTCACATAGCGAATTCCGAAATGGACAACACCATTCCGCAGGATCTGCACATGGAGAGACAAAGAGATAAAGACAGGCTCTCTCGCTGCCCATGCTCTATCGATCTTAGTCTCCCTTCCATGTCTATGCGTGTTTTCTGCCTTTCTCCAATCTTTGTGTATCGTAGACAGTCGCTCAACCGATCCTAGGTTGGTCCCCTCTGAGTGCAATCACAGATCAGTAATCCGAAGACTGCTACGACAGATCCGAAGACACAGGACGCGAACATTAATTCAAATCTTTAAACCCTATCAAACCTCGCGTCCGCTGAACGTCGCGAGGAACCCTTCCGCTGACTTGGACACAGGACAGGACATGGAGCGATCAGATGCTCATAGGGTATTGTTGATGGCGACATGTCTGACCAACCAGGAGGACGACAGCCCAGCCTGTCCATACCATCTTGTGGTGGCGCAACAACTAACGTATCCGAGCCACCCGTGTTAATTTCGGTTGCATCCGAGCCACAACCCACTAAAACTCACAGGGCGACCACTAACCGAGGCACCTCGGCGAAGTTCGGATTAATCCGAACCACACCGACGCAAATTTGGATTTGTCACATACTCAGACGGTATTTACGACATCGCACGTTCTGATAAACGTGAACGACGAAATCACACGCTGTCAACAGACCGTGCCGTCCATCCACCGGTCCCCGTCTCGGATTAGTCCGAACCATGCCTCCGACAGGATAGGGTCCACCCTATGCTCACAGGTCATTGAGGAAAACACGCCATGCCGATGGCCTCCTCTTGTGGTCGGCCGTTTCTGTCTCGCATTGTGCTAATTCGGATGCATCCGAGTTACAACGTTGGTCTTTCGACTCTGCCCAGTTCGGATGTGTCCGAACTCCCCCGCTGTCTTCGTCTTCGACCATTCGCTCTACGAAGGGCAGTTTGATGACGAGGGTTGACAATTTCAAGTTTACGTTGAAGAAGCATTACAGAAGTGATGGTTCCGTCGACGACATCGCAAAGGGATGCAAGGTTGCCGGGGAGATGTTCGGCGGGTACGGCCGACGTGCGATGTCTTTGCCGTACTTTGTCCCGCTAGCGCCGGGGCACGACGAGGCCGTTCACGTGACAGACTTCCTCGAGGTTGGGCGAGATCTGGTACCTCTGTCAGTGCCGTGGACGTCGGACCTGGGACATCGATCAGTGGTCCTGTTGGGTTCGCGGGAGGAGAGTGCTCTGAAGGGGGGATGGGAGGTTAGGGTGGCCTGCCAGCTACGCCTCTTGATCAAGAGGTGGGCATGTCAGACGACTCGGAGGACGACCATCCGCGTGCTCCTTCGAAACCGGGGTTTTATGGATCTCGCCGCCAAGGTTTGCTTGGGGAGTCGACGCCACGTGGAGGCAGCGATGGCGAACGGTTGCGACAGGGCTCAGAATCGACGACTCCTCGTGGTCTGGTCGAAAGGATTGGTTCGTTCGTTCGTGGCATGCAGGTGGCCGAGGTTTCGCCTGGAGATCGCACGGGTGGTCCGCAGATTCGAGAGGTGCGTGGGTCAGATGACACGACTCGCCGGGCCCGACCTGCGCCCGCGCAACTGCAGACGGAGTTGAGCTAGGAACGAGAAGCAAGTGGGAACGTCGCCGGTGAGGAGGAGGTGTCCGAGCAAGGGCTGTTCCGTGAGAGATCGGCTGAAAAGACTCAGTCGGGAGGAAAGCGCAACTTGCCAAATGAGGAAGAGCGAGAGGGAATAGGTGCTCTGAAAAGGCAGAGAAAGGTAGGAGGGAGTGCTCGGACTCCAACAACACGAGAGGGCGGTTCCGTTGAGAAGAGGAAAAGGGTTGGAGGTGGGGATGAAACGCCAAAAGACTCGTCGACACAGCGGAGAACTGGTGAGTCTTCCGGGAAACGGTCGAAATCATCGAGGGGGAAGAAAGCAGATGAGGGCGACAGTGGGGAGGGAGATGACGACGTGGAGATTAACCTCAACGCCTTTAACCTCGACAATGCGTTCTTCCTCGAGATGCAGACAGGGGTGCAGAAGGACATCGTGTTGCACATCTATCCCGAAAGAATATTAGTTATTCCAGACTGGGAAGACGCGTACAACCGTCGATCCTTGGACGAGTTCCTCGTTGATACCATCGCGTCGGCTATGATCGACTGCTACGAACGTAAAGACATGAGATACACGAAGCCCATTTTCGTTCTCGCTCCAATCGTCGCGCCTCCAGAGAACGGCGAGCCTGCTGTGCGCGTGCTGCCTGCTGACTTCGACAGCTCACAGACGGAGAAATACTGGTATTATCCTATGTGTGGACAGCATAACGCGAGGGCGGCGATGACGGTGGAAGACCATCCCGTGTTTGAGTACTACAACTTCTGTAAATGGCCGTTCAGACCGATCTACTTCCCTGACGACGAGTTTGACGGCTACGCCCATGTCAGCGGCGAAGATAACATAAAAGACAAGAATAATCCACCGCTCTTGCAGGTTTTGTCTATGCGGGACATTCACAATATCTGGAAAATTAAGGGCAAACTGCGTGTGGTGCTCGGCAATGCTTCGAAGAAAAAGGACGAGGTGCGAAAGTGGGTGCAGTTCATGGCATTGGCTATGAAGAAGACACCGTACACGTCTTTGTGGAACCTGTCAACGGAAGAAAAGAAAAGAAAGGAATGGGCTGAGAAACTTCGATACTACCTCCCACTGGCCATGGTAGATGACTCCGTCGTCGCTTTGGGAGAGAAGTTATATGAGGAGTGGTCGAAAGGGAAACTCCTTGCTTCTGACGGTCGGCGTTGCACTGAAAAGGCGCCCACCCATGAGGAGGTGGCCAAGCCAGGACTCTCGACTGTGACTGACAGCCAGGGGTTGAAGAAACACGTTTGGTACGTGAAGGTGGATGACCCGTCGTTGAAAAAGGGCAAGGGGAAGCCAAAGAAAGGCGTGGAGGAGAAAACTTTCTACGTCCAAGTTCCTGAGCCTGCTGGAAGGAATTGGTGGACTTGACGGACCGCGAGAAGAAAAGGCTGTTGAACGGCGTCTGGAACCTTAACATCATGTGGGTTCAAACGAGTAGCAAGAAGTTGGCCGAGCAGGGGAAGTTCAGTGTCAAGGAGATGGTCGACATAATAAAAATGGACCGGATTATGCTGAGGCTGTGGCACTACGTGGAGTTCGAGTATGAGGAAATGGATAAGCGGGAGTGGAATGCCAACTCCACGTTCTTCAAGTCCAAGAAGCAACTGTTGGAAGAGTTCAAGGACAAAGGTCTCGAGGACAAACTTTGGAACGAGAGCATGAAATTTTTCACGGACTCCACGTACGTCAACAAGTGCCCTCAGTTTTTCGGGTGTCAACACGACAACAACATCAAGAGAACGGCGGCCCTCGTCAACGACCAACATTTCCCGACAGAGTGGAAGCGTGTCGTCCTTTCGGTGATCACTGGAGATCGCGCCAAAGGCAAAAAAAACCCTCGAGGCGTTGATGAATGCATCAACATTATGTGAACGAGGACAAGCGCCTTGACGACGCTGGTCCAGTTTAACGTCGACCTATTGAGTGTCATAGATCATAAGGAGGCGCTGGGAAAACTAGGGCATCAGCTACGCTCCCACACTTGCGTGCTCGACTTGTGCGGAACTGTGGACCGTGCGCAATGGGATTCTGGGGCATTCGCGTCTCTAAGTGAGTTGTTGGGCTTCGTTTGTCAGGACTACTGGACATTGGTGGTATTCGTTCCCTGCCTGTGGAACCTCTCCTTCATGACATCTTTGTCTGCACTTGGGGCTACCCGATGCTACACGGGGAAGTGGGTTTGGAAGACGGCAGCGAAGAAGACGCATCAGTTCGGAAACAACGTCTGGGAGGAGCCGGATGTGATGCACATCGTTTTCAAAGGCGAGGATCCTCGGCTACTGACTCACCCGGTGTACGAGGGAGCTGTTGCTGAAGACGTTGCCGCCGCTCTCCAGAGAAAACAAAAAGTGACACCCACGCATGTGGAGGAGAAGTCCTTCAAGTCCTTGACTTTCGCGGACATTGGAAACCTCACCCAGAGGGGGGCTCTGTACAAGGACAGCGAGCGGAATCCGAATCAGTTATGCAATCAACTTTTTTTCTTCTGTAGTGTGGCGGATGCCATGCTGTTCTTGGGCAAGCCGCACGCACAGGTGGTGTGGAGTCTGCTTCAGCACGGAAGGCACGTCTTGGCCGTGGATGGGGACACAACGCAGCTCGAATACACCGTGCAGTATGTCACCCATGAAGTGTCGTCCAAGGCTTACCCATGCGATTTCCACCATGT